ATTTTGCTGGCACATGGCTCACAGGGGCAAGAATCAAGATCCCAGTACCCTGTTAACTTTTAGTTATTTCTCTGAGTTTCCAGAGGTGTTCAAGAACCGTCCTTTTATATTCTTCCACTTTGTCCATGTTTTTTAAATAATTAATATCAAACAATCAATTTAAAGCCTGCTTCACTATTAGTGTCTTCGTGGCAAACAGTGATTCCTTTTCTAAAGCAGTATGCTTTAAAATTGTTAAAATCAAAAACAAATGGAGACCAATCTTGAAAGTTCCCTGATCAGACAGAACCAATTTTGTCATACAAACCAAGTTTAGTTTAGCTTTTTTTGCAAGACTGACTTGACCTTGGCCATTTCTTGCTAATGCCACTGGAAATTATAAGCAAAATTTGACCTATTTCCCAAGTGGATATGAGGCAACCTCTGAAAATTCTAATATTATAACTAATCACCATGAAGAATAAACAGCCACTGCTTTATCACTGTATAAGCTGCTTATAACAATGTTCCCCTGAGGCTCATTCTGTGTTTTGGTTTGAGTGCTTCCTTTTTGCAGACTGTCTTTTTGACGTGTGCAAAGTAAACTTTTACTAATTACTGCTTGAATGATTCATTGGTTTTACTTTGGCTATTTCTAAACCTTTGACAGTATGGAATGCTCAAAACTTCACATATTCCCAGACAACCCAGTTTTTCTTTCGTTCTCCTATAAAGAGACTGAAGCCACAAAAAAATGGGAAGAACGCTCATCTCTTCTGATCTGTGACTTACTTTTCAAACTGGGGCTAGAAATATCAATTGCTTATATTCCTACAATTCAGAAAGTTTCAAATAATAATAACTAAAAATTTTTTTACAAGGAATTGTAACCCTACAGGATTGATTCATGGAGCTATAGAATACATAGTAAACTGTCTGTCTCCATCATATCCCAAAGTTTCTCTGCCTCAGGAGTCAGAGCACTGGTTTGTTCCCCACAAGTCACTCTTCCTTCTGTGCAAATCAACTCACGAAAATAGATGCGTGGAGGTTTGTGGCCCCCTGTGCTGAGACTTGTCTCAAACCCACATGATGTTTCCCAGCTACAACTTTCATATTTTCTCTCAATTTTAAGGTGCATATAGCATAGGAAAATAGGTATTGATAATTATATTAAAATTCAACTTGAAGGCATTTATATTTAGTGGTTGTTTCTGTCCTCCAAAAATGGATATATTTACCTTCTTGTCTCATTGAATAGGATGGGAGGGGAGCGGGGGAGAGGGGAACAGACTTACATTTTTGATAAATGCTGTTGTTTGATTTCAATGCTTAAGTGAATAGGTTTCTACCAGTCTCTCAGAAGTTGAAGTCTCTGAACTTTTAAGTATCATGTCCTTATAAAAATAAGAATATATGAAATACTTAAGTGAAAAACATGTTCATTGATGTATGAGCCTGTATACAGTTTCCAAGAATAGTTAATAGTAAGTTCAGTACTTGGTATAACATAAAAAAGAAGAGCTAACTGTGGGAGGCAGGGAAATTAACACAGATTTTGAATTTTTATAAATAAAAGTCTTCTGAAAATTTCAAAGCTGCTTCTTTGAAAAGTACTGATCATGAGTAATTTGCTAACAACCTTCGTAACTTGCTATAAATATGACAGTTTTGCTGAAGCTGGGAAGTGTAGACAAGAAAAAATAGACTTCATAATAAACAAAATTTCTTATCCAAAATCCATTCTAAATTAATCTTAGATTTCTTCTCACTGCCTCCTCCTACCATGAATTTTAACAACTTAAACAAAATGTTTGTGAATATGTATTTACAGATGATGTTGACTACTCAAAATTAGAGTAAGATTCAGATTGGTCTTATGGAGCCTCAAACTATGTATTTATTACTATAAGCTCTCTTCAATGACTACAGTTCTCTGAAAACAGTTTACTGGTATTCACATGGTGCCAGTCTCAGATATTACTCTCACAGGAAGAAAGTTCTAGGAGAAATATACCAGAGCAAGAGTTGTAGGTGACAGGAAGTCTTCCCATATGCACAGCCTTCACCCCTTCAGAAAAGGAAAGGATAGACCATGTAGAAGTGCTTTTTAGCCAATTACTTAATGTAGTTTTGCTGACAATAATTCCCTTTGAGTCAAAATTGTGAATCTTTAGAAATAAAATTAATTGTCCATAAGCAGTTGAATGGTTCTTGTGTCATTGAAGGGACAAAATTAGTAAAAAAAATTTGGAATATTTCTCTGCTCAGAATTTTCTCATTTTTTTATAGCATCGATCTACAGAGCTTGGTTGCGAATTCCTGTTATAAAACATAAAGATTTTGTTTATAACTGTAGAAAGAAGGGAGCCAGGCAATCTTTTGCTTCTTTGTAATCTCACTTTCCAGCTCCTGATCACTGATACTTCTCAAGGATTCTCTGAAGACCCCAGCTGGGTCCAGACAGAGTAATATACTGAACAGTGAATACTTTAAGGGTTCAAATTTGTGTTCTATATACTTTACTATTCTCAGTACAGTGCTTCGCACCTAATAAATTATATGAAAGCCTTTCTCTTTCTACACATTCTTGTTTAGAGGATGAATGAGATGTTTGCCTATCTTGAAGCATGAGGATATATACCACTTCCTGTTGTATTAGTGCCCTGTGTCTGCTGTAATAAATTACTACAACGTTGGTGGCTTAAAACAACCGAAATTTATTATCTCACAGTTCTGGAGGCCAGAAGTCTGAAACCAGTTCCCTGGGCCCAAAACAAGGTTTGTGTAGGACCACACTAAGCTCTAAAGGTTCTAGGGGAGAATTTGTTCCTTCCTCTTCCAGCCTATGTTGACTCTGGCATTCCCTGGCTGTGGCCACATCACTCTAATCTCTGCCTCTATGGCCACATTGCCTTCCCTCTTCTGTCTGTAATCAAATATACTCTTGCTCTCTCTTGTAAGGATGCATGCCATTGTATGTAGGGCTGACCTGGATAATCTGTGATAATCTCCCCCTTGCAGTGCAAAATGTGAGGGATTGCCAGCTAACCATACCTAGTTATCTATTATCTTTTAAAAGGTGAGGGGCAGAGTATTATTGGTTCAGATACAAGTAAGTTGGTTTATTCATTTATAGGAAAATGTAGATGTTTCTTTTCTCTTTTTTCCTGAGGAAGATTCACCCTGAGCTAATGTCTGTGCCAATCTTCCTCTATTTTGTAGGTGGGTCACCACCACAATACAGCCACTGACAAGTGGTGTAGGTGCATGCCCAGGCCGCCAAAATGGAGCACGCTGAACTTAACTGATGGACTCCAAGGCCAGCCCTGTTGTTATTTTCTAACAACTGGAAGGAAGGATTTTGCAAAAGAAATAAAAGGAATGGTTAAGAAGCAGCAATATGTAGCTATGAGAGCTCTGACAATGTCTTTCTGCCCTCTTTATGTTTGGGCCATGGAAAATGAGTAAATGTTACTTAAGAGGACAGGTAAAAGTTACTTAAAACCAGATGGGAGAGGAAAGTTCTAGAGTTTTTGAGAAGGTAGTGAGTTTCTTCTTTTTTTATTTTCATGATGGTGATGATGATTATTACATTAGAATAAACTTTCCAGAGATCACAATGACGGGGACTCAACTGATCAGTGATAATCAGAGATAAAGGGTAACAAAGTAATATGGAACCAACAAAATAGAGAAAGGAGAAACTTCTGTTTAGCGAGAAAGATAAGGGTGAGAGTCATTGGGAAGATAAGTGACTTAAAATGTCCAGAACTAGATAGAGCCTCTAGAACAGGGCAAGAGTAATAGGGGCTGTTAGTTGTGATATTATGCTTTCAGAAGTGTCATTCTCACAATTATCATTGATACTGGATTTTAAAATGTCTCTATGAGTCCTTGAATATATATGCATGGTAGATAATTTAATGGTGACAGTGTTAAGGCCCATTTTCGCTATTTATTAGAAACTCTGGCAGGAGGAATTTCATAACTTGATACTGCTAAGGTCAAGCGGTGACCACAAAGGTTGAGGGTTTGTCAATGCCCTTAGTTGAGTGACAGAGCTGGGAAGATGTGATGATTGACAATCTCCAGGAAGTAACATCAGTTTTGATATATCAGTTTCAAAGACATGCGTACTCAGAAAGTCTGCTTCACTTCCCTGAGAAAAGCTCTGTGGATGAAAAGAATCATTTGATATTACCAAGCAGGTCTTCTGTGGACCAACCTACCTAAACGAGGGACTGGACAGGGATGCAGGTACACTTATGGGCTTCTAGGATGAGCAGCTGCATAAAACAGAAAATATTTGAATGAAAAAAATACAATAACACTTTACCTTCCCTGGACACAGTTTCTCAGCAAATAATGTCCAGATGCACAGAGCACGTTTACGGTAATTTCTCAATCTTGATGCACAAATTATAGATCTGAGCAAAATGTCCTGTAGATGAATGACAAAGTGAGAGTAGAATGAATTTATCTGGGTATGTTGCTAATATAGGAAGCGCTCCAGTTGAAGAAATGAACTCCAAATGAAGAAATGTTTTTATCTATTGGATGGAAGTTTTATTACTGTTAAGAAAAATTCACAAAACCTGAAAGGTCATATTTTTCCTTCAATAAAAACAATAAGAATCGTGTTTCACAGCTATATTTTCATATTTTCTTATGCCTGAATCACTAAAGGATACTTTTTTGCTAAAATTTGCAATTAGAAACCAAGTTTGGGTAAATACAAACTTTGAAAGCCCAATAATTTGGATGTGGCTTTGTTTCCACACTTAACACAAAATAATGTCACCTCTGACCCCCGGGCTGAATACTTGAAGACTTATAAATAGAACTGTAAATCTACAAAAATCTAACTGTTATTACGATAATATTCACTGTATAGCATATAAAGCTTTTCTTTGTATTTTCAAAGGTATTTTTGCTTAGCATTTTTATCTTATATTTGTAGGCAACAATTGTCAGGAAGACTTTTTTTGGTAAAATCTGTATCTTTTTCTCATTTATAGTTTGGTTGCCACAAAAGAAACAGATAGTGCAAGATCTCGAAGTGCTCCAATGTCACCTTCTGACTTTCTGGATAAATTAATGGGGAGGACATCGGGGTATGATGCAAGAATCAGACCCAATTTTAAAGGTAATTGTTTTGCTAACTACTATATATGAAATGTGTTTTAAATATGATTAAACAAGATAAATTTTCAAATTGATTCCACCAAAAATTCTAACACTTATTTCCAACAATCTTCCAAGTATTGTACTAGACAAAGATCCATCTTGAAAGAAGAAATTTATTCTCATGTTAATAGCGATCATAATTTGTTTTCTTTGGACCAATAATGTTTTTTTCACCTTCTCTAATTGTTATAAAACTTATGGTCGTGGCGGTTCATTTTAGGAAATTATTCATTTAGGAAATAAAATTTAGTGTATATTCTCACTAACTGGAATAGAAGTTGTTTTAGAGTTAGTAATAAACCTTCCCACATTTTAAATTCCCCTCAGCAGGACTCTGTATTGTGGAGAATGAAACAGCTGTTGAATTTATGCATTGAAGAAGGGTCTGGATAACTAAGAGCCACTGATAACATTTAAGAAATTTTCCTACCTCCCAAATCTTTTACCTGAATTTACAGGAAAGTAATTATCAACTTAAAAGTACTCCTTTTTTGTTCTTCTATTCAGTATAGTGATAATCAACGTATTTAGACAAGTGGTATGTAGATTATCCAAAACCATAATACGTCCTGTAATTTAATCTAGGATAAAAGATTAGAAAGCTACTTCCATGCCCCTACTTATTTAATATCTCTTAAATATTATTTTAGTCAATAAAAAAGTAATCTAAGAGGCCCACCTGGTGATGCAGTGCTTAAATTCTCATACTCCGCTTCAGCGGCCCCAGGGTTGGCTGTTTCCCGTCCTGGAGGCAGACCTACCCATGGCTTATCAAGCCATGCTGTGGCAGGCGTCCCGCATGTAAAACAGAGGAAGATGGGATGGGCACGGATGTTAGCTCAGGGCCAATCTTTGCCAGCAAAAAGACGAGGATTGCCTGTGGCTGTTAGCTCAGGGCTAATCTTCCTTGGAAAAAATAAAAGTAATCTAAGTTATGTCAATTCACACCTTTTCCATGGGATTCAGTTAAGCTACTTTCATTCTTAAAGGTGAAAACAAAAACAATGTAGTCTACAATAATTTTTTTCCTGATTTTGTTTTTATGAGACTAAAAAGAAAGGATTGCTTAACAATGGTGTAAGAATTAATTTTCGAGGACTAATAAATAACAAGAATGAGTAGCAGGAGAAAAAGATAGGAGTAAAATTTTTTGATAAGTTGTGAGTAGAAAACAATGAATTACTTCAATTTTAAAATGAGTTTAACACTTAAATTGTGGATTGCATTTCTTGATTTGTTTTTAAGCATTTTGACAAAAAATATTTTTAACCACACAGGAGAAAAACACAGAATGTAAACTGTGAGAAAATAATACAGCTTAAAAGACGTCATACACAAATGAAAACGAGAAATTTCAGCATTAGGAGAATCTTTTACAAATTGAGGGAAAGCAATATCACTACATTAGGTCGAGAAGTGATTTTGAATGGACCTTGAAAAATAAGCAGTCGTCATGTGAGTAAACCACAAGAAACGTGATGGGTAATAAGTGGATTCATCGTGGTGACTCTAAATTCTGTGGTTCAGAAGTATTTCTTTGTTTTCACCAAAAGTTAAAGTGGGAAATGTATTCTGTTTTCAAATGTCTGTGAATATGCCGCAGACAACAGATATCTTAATAAAAATACAGCTACTAACTACACAACAGTGGTCTCAATGCCTTGTCTGTTGTCTTAGAAAGTTTACTTTTATTTTCTTATTTCAATCATTTAACAGATAAATGAAACTTTAAACCATCTTAAGTGTGATTAATTATTACTGTTTATTTGCGAGGCCAGGAAAGGACTCCAAGGATTTGACCTTGCTTGAAATATGTACTGATTCTTCCTTTTTTCTTTTCTTGGTGAGGAAGTTTGGCCCTGAGCTAACATCTGTTGCCAATCTTCCTCTTTTTTTGTTTTCTCACCAAAGCCCCCAGGACATAGTTGTATATACTAGTTTAGGTCATGCTAGTTCTTCTATGTGGGACGCCACCCAGTACGGCTTGATGAGCGATGTGTAGGTCCATGCCCAGGTTCTGAACCCGCAAACCCCAGTCTCCTGAAGTGGAGAGTGTGAACTTAACCACTTGGCCACAGCCCCGGCCCCTCTCTTCTTTTGATTTTTAATAAAAATCCGTTTCTAAAAACTAGCTGATAATCAAGCCTGTTCAGTGGTGAGTAGATTTTTTTGATTGATAGTGGGAAAATCAATTCTTACTCCCCAGCAAGAATTTCTCTGTCCTTAAAGGAATAGAGAAGTGTGGGACGAGGAGGGGGGGCGTGATCTCTTGTTTATGGTTTTTCAAGATATCTTGTACTCCGAATATCAGAAAAACAAGTGCATGCCGCATTTGATTATCAAAAATAATAATGTCAATTTAAAAAAATAACTTAATGAATTAGTTTTTAGCTAACACTCTTGCTTTTTCCTCAATTGCCAAAGTGAAATGTTGTTGTGTCTAGGAACATTCACATAACTCTACCTCCAAACTAAGCAAATTCAATGCTGTTTCGTTTTATTGAATAAACTAAAATCGTAATATTTTGACCATCATTTCATTGCCCAGCATTGAAATATAAATAAAATATATTTGGATATTTTTGAGATATTTACATGCTAATACAATATATCCAAGACCTGTCAGAATAGACAAAGGAGTGTAAGATCAGCTCTACTATTGTCAAGTAAGTAGAGACCCACAGTACCTCTTTAAAAAAGAAGCTCATCAAACAGAAGTATGAAGTGAAGATATTTATAATAGTTATAATTTTAGCAGTCTTTATATGTGGTAGCTCACAAAACTAAAATTATAATGTCCTCTGCCATGTTTAAGTGTTTTTCCCCTTGTGGATTTTTTAAAGGTATTTAGCTAATCAAACGAGTTAATTTAAACCTGCTAATATATATACTTTTCCTTACAATATGTCAAAGAATTAATACTATGAGACTTTAGAGATATGAATACCAGTAACATGATATTCCACTAGTGTAAGTTATTTTGAAAAAGTAAATGAGTAAGATTAACTAAATATTTTTTTTAAAAAGGAGAAAAAAGAATGAGAATTTGCCAAAATAGATGTAAAAATATATTACAATGACTTAAATGGTTTAGTTCTCACTTCTTCATGTGTTAAAGTGTTAATGAAAAAAAAAATAAACCTAGGAAAATACTTTTTCTCTCTCCACACCCATACAAAAATACAATAAAATACTTTGTTTTTTCAGGACAGGAGTAAGTTGATGTATTTTCTGAGCTCTGGGTTTTTTCTCATCTTTTTTTTTAAATTTCTGCACTTTTTTTTAGAACAGTTTTGGGTTTACAGAAAAATTGCTTGGAAAGTACAGAGAGTTCCCACATACACTCTCCCATCCCCTACAGCTTCCCTTACTGTTTACATCCTGTAGTAGTGTTACATTAGTTACAATTGATGAATCAATATTGACACATTATTATTAACTAAAATCCATAGTTTACATTAGGGCTCATTCTTTGGGTTGTACATTTTATGGGTTTTGACAAATGTGTAACCTCATGTGTCCAGCATTACTGTATCATACAGAATAGTTTCACCGCCCTAAAAAATCCCCTGTGCTTCAGCTATGAATGTCCTTCTTTCTTTCCTCTTCACTCAAACCACTGATCTGGCAACCACTGATCTTTTCACTGTCTCTAGAGTTTTGTCTTTTCCGAAACATCATATAATTAGATTGGCTTTGTTCACTCAGCAATATGCTTTTAAGATTCCTCTATGTCTTTCTATGGTTTGATAGCTCATTTCTTTTTATCACTGAATAATATTCAATGATAATCTCTTGTTTATACATTTGACATTAAAGAAATTTTATACAATTATCAAACTACAGAATTCTAGGTCAAAAGTTTGTAGCTGTTGTTCTTTTGCCTACTGATGTTTAGTATTGTAATTATTTTTTTTATTTAACTATGGACATTTTTCTTTAAGAAAATGATTGCTTATACTGGCACTGTTTGTGTTATTTTCCAAAATAACTATCTTTCTCTTTGAAAAAAAAATTTTGATCTCTTCTTCCATCACCCGTGTCTAACATACTCCAACTTATACCATTTACGCTTTTGCCCTTTCCCTCTACACGTAAGGAGATTTGTTCAGATTTGTCCTCTAAATCACTCTTTCATATTACATGCAATTGTTTGTATACTTTTGGAATGTTTAGGAAGATTTTAATTCTGTAATTATATTTCGGTCTCTTCACAGTCTTCTTTACCCTAAACCATTTTCCCTGAATGTGAAGTCATGAAGGTTGTGTCACAGGTTGCTAGACAGGCACTATTTTGTATATTTAACTGTTTGTTTTATTTATGACAACAGCAAAAATCATGTCCCCGTACTTGGTAAAAATTAAATTGCCTAAAAATGCTGGTGATGCAAAGCAGCAGTCCCTTGCCTCAGCAATCTCTATGCATAGTTCTGCTTCTTTGAGGCAAATATTCAAAAAGTAAAATTGGTTACTTCTGGTGAGTACCTCTTCTAATCTGATTACTTCTAGGCCTTTGACAAAGAAAGTGTTATGAGATTTCCTTTGCACTAACTAGATTGCTAATTTAATGCCCTCATTCTTGCATTCCACCTCTCCTATTTTTCATTTTTGTCCAGTAATTTCTCTTTTCTTTCTGCATGAACAACTATGTTTATTCACCTTGTTCACTCTCTTTAAGCTGCTAGTTTTCTTACATGTGATAGGAGCGCTGTAGAGGTCAGGAAGGATGGAGTTGACTTCCCTGGGTGCTGACACAGGTTTTGTCTGCACTGTGTTTCTGGAAGGAGGTGTTTTCTCTCTCTTGAAAGGGAAACCTGACAGAGATGTCACTGTCCTGGCCAGAGCTCTGCCTTAGGCAAGTGTTGAGTGTCAACAAGGCTTTGGTCTGGGATCCTCCAGATACCAAAATGGAGATGGCTTATTTTGAGGTATTATCAGGAATCCCATTTTCCCAATTTT